CTAAAGATAAGACCTTCACTGCATTTAAAGTTTGGAAAAGCCAAATTGAAAATCAAACTGACTTGAAAATTAAAACCTTAAGAACTGATAATGGCCTAGAATTTTGCAATTATGAATTTAATTATTTCTGTAAATTGCATAGCATTTTTAAGACATAGAACTGTAACATATACACCCTAACAAAATGACATTGTAGAAAGAATGAATAGGAATTTATTAAATAAGGTTAGATGCATGTTTTTAGTATTAGGCTTGCCCAAATTGTTTTGGGGTGAGGTTGTTAAAACAACTATATAATTAATTAATAGAAGTCCTATAAGTGCTCTAAACTTTGATGTGCTTGAATCTGTGTGGACACAAAGGCCTATTGTTTACTCTTATCTAAAAACTTTCGGTTGTGCAGCATTTACTCATCAAAACATAGGGAAACTTGATCCTAAATCACTTAAGTATGTATTTTTAGGCTATGCTGAGAATATAAAGGGGTACAAGCTCTGGGTTTATGGGGAAAAGGGTTATAGGGTTATCATTAGGAGAGATGTGGTATTTAATAAGACTTGTATGCCTTGTTTAAAAGGAAAGAAAGGAAATTTAACTGACAGTAATGTCCAAATTCATGTGAAGCCTATTAAGCTGGACAGTACCTATACCATTCCCTTAGAAACTCCAAATACTGAAGTTGGTCTAAATGACACTGATACTAAATTGGCAGAACTTGAACAATATGATAACACAGTTTCACCACCTAAAGAATACCAGCTTACTAGAAATAGAGAGAGAAGACAAATTAGATCCCCTTGCTAGATTTAATAATGATGACTTTGTGTCTTTATTTACATACCAGGAAGAAATTGAATTTGAACCATGTTCTTATCATGAAGCTTTAAAATCTAAAGACTCTAAGGAGGGTGTATTCAATTGGGACTTTTGAAAATTTTGATGGACTTTTTTTAAGTGACGACTTCTGTGGATTTTATGAATTTTTTTTATAGATTTGTATGAAATTAGTGGAAATCTATTATAGACTTCTATGGACTTTCATTTTAAATTTTTTATAGACTTTTGTAGAATTCGAAAAGCTTTTAAAGACTTTTATTTGAAATAGAATTCAAGTGGATCTAGTACAATGATGTGAAATTCTCATATACGAGGTGTTGTTCCCAAAATTCTCCTTTTCGTTCCCATTCTTCTTCCCATATAATTAAAAAAAATTAAAGAATAAAAATTTAAGACATTAATTAAATAAATAATGATCAAAATTATACATATATATGATAAACAATAATTTTAATATTCAATATTATTAATATAATATACTTTTAAAAAAATAAAAATTAATATATTTAAATTTAATTATAAAATTTTTTAGATATAATTTTATAATTTAATGAAAAATAGATGTTTTTTTTAAAAAAAGAACGAAAAAAGAAAAAAAGTTACAAGAATCCAATTTAATTTTTTTGTAGAATATAAAGATAAACAATAAGAGAGAGAAAGATAAATAGAAATAAATATAATCAATGGAAAAACATAAATATACCTCTAATGTTTGTTGAAGGAAAAAGGAAAGACAGATTGAATTTTTTTATTTATTTTTTTTGTGAAAATCTCCCAAATCTCATGATTAATAAGAGACAAATTTTAAAATTTGATATGAGTACTTTCTACTTTTATAAAAGTCTTTAAAAGTCATTAAAATTTGAATATCGTAAGAGTTATAGAGACTTCTAAAAAGTCACAATTGAATATACTGTAACTTTTAGAAACTTTTTAAAAATCTATAAAAGTCTTAATTGAATACACCGTGACTTTTAGAGACTTTTTCAAAATTTATAAAAGTCTCAATTGAATATATCAATACTTTTAGAAAGTCACAAAAAGTCTACATTGATTACTCCTAAATTTTTTAAATCTCAAAAAATATTAAAAGTCTCAATTGAATACACCCTTCTAAAAAGTGGTTAGTTGCCATGGAAGAAGAAATGACATCCTTATACAAAAATAAAACATGGAACGAAAGGATAAATACTAGTTGATTGTAAATGAATTTACAAACTAAAGGAAGGGGAAAAGGGCAATAATAACGTTAGATATAAAGCTAGACTTGTTGTCAAGGGTTTTCACATAGAAAGAAGGTGTGGATTATGATGAATTTTTTCCTAGTAGTTTAATATACAACTATCAGATGCATTATTTCTTTAGTTGTATAATTTAAGTAAAAAACTTGATTAACTAGATGTAAAAATAGCTATTAAGATATCCTAATAAAACTACTGTTTGTTGAAAAAAATCATTATATGGCTTAAACAAGCTCCAAGACAATACTACAAAAGATTTTATTCATTAGTCTTGAAACTTGGTTTTAATAGAAACAATTATGATACTTGTCTCTATTGTAAAGGAAATGGAGGTAAAAACTCTCTTTATTTGGTACTTTATGTTGATGACATGCTTCTTGCTAGTGCCAGTAAGTCAGAAATTGATGATATCAAACACAAACTAAGATCATAATTTAACATGAAGAATCTTGGTCCTGCTAAGAAAATTCTTGCTATGTAGATTATTAGAAATGAAGAATCTGATTCTCTGTTTAAGTCAACAAAATTCTAAAAAGGTTTAACATGTTTGATTGTAAACCTGTGTCTTTACCCCTTGCTAATATTTTAAACTCATATATAATTCTTGTCTTAAAACTAAAGATGAACTTGATAGAATGTCTAAGATTCCTTATGCTAATACTATTGGTTCTGTTATGTACTTGATGATCTGCACCAGACCTGATTTAGCTTATAACATTAGTATTTTGAGTAGATTCATGGGAAATCCCGGTGAAAGTCACTGGGAAGCATTGAAATGGTTAATGAAATACTTAAAGGGATCGTCCAGTTAGGCTTAATGTTTAAAATGAATAAGGAGTGGATAATTCTAAAGGTTTATATAGACTCTGATTTTACTGAAGATAGAGATTATAGGAGATCAACCTCATCTTATTTCTTTACTTTGTGTGGCACTGTAATAAGATGGAAATCTCAATAACAAAAAAATTGTTGCTCTATCCTCCACTGAGGCAGAATACATTGCAGCAACTAATGCTATCAAAGAAGGCATCTAGTTGAATAGGCTGTTAAATGAACTTGGTTTTGTGAACACTAATTTAACCTTATATTCTGATAATCAGAGTGCAATTCATTTAAGTAAGAATCTCATGTTTCATTGTAGAACTAAACATATTGATGTCAAATACCACTTTATAAGAGATGTTATCTCAAAATGATTACTTAAGATTGGTAATATTGCCACTTTACACAATCTATCTGATATGGGAACAAAAGTGATACCTGCAAATAAGTTTCAAAATTGTTTCAAGATATTATTTGTTGATTTTTTTCATTGATCATACATGTACATGAAGCAAATGACATTATAAATAGCTGGTAAAGCTCGTGGTTGCATTATTACCAAGAATATTGGAAAAAAGGTGGAGATTGTTAAGCCATTGGGAAGAAAGCGTTTTTTCCCAAATTTGCACTTCTTTTAGTGGAGGCCTTTAGCTGAATTGTGACGCATGGCATTTTGGTGACCGTCTGATTATGTTTTGGAGACTTCTGCCTTTATATTCTTATTGTGATGTTTTGACTGTAAGAGAGATTTTTTGGGTTTGCTATTCGTCTCTTAGCTCTTTCTTCTCTGTGAGAATTCCTCATTCTTCGTGATTAGGGTTTGTGATTCCTGAGTGTTCCAGTACTCAAATTGAAGGGAAGAACCTGTAATACTCTAAATTGATATACTGTTGTATTGTTCTATGTGTTTTTGTATAAGAATCTGAGTGATTTGTGTGAGCAGTAGGCATTTGGAGATGATTTGAGTGATCTCCTTCGAGTTCTTGGTGAAGAGTGTTCTGATTTGTGGTTCATTTTAAAGATAAGTCTCTGTGACTTGATCTTTTGTAATTTCTGAAACATATTGTAAATTATTGTTGTCAGTTTTTAGTTTTATAGTGCAACCGAGCTTTATTCATTCATGGTGGATGCTCAACAGGGGATTATGCGTTAGAAGTGGACGTCGAACCTCTGGGGTTATGGGCGAAAAATCCTCGTGTTGATTTTTGTATTTTCTGCACAAGACATTTCTATTTTTTGGTGATTGGTTTTGAATCTTGGTTAATTTTTAAGTGTTTCTCGACTTTTCAGAAACACTTTTATAAAATTAGTCAAATAGGTCCAAAAGCACCTTTTGAATTTCAAAAGCTCTTTTTGACTTTTCAAAAGCCTTGTCAAACGGGTCATACACCGATTTTAGATGGTTTTTAAAACATCCAAAACCAAGGCCTAGAAAAACTAACAAACACCAATTTTTATAATGTCTAATAAACGAAGCCATCTAAAATTGGTGAAAAAAAAAACTCCCAGACGGGCCGTAATGGAAATGAGTAAAGTGTTTTTAAATTTCTAAAACTATACTAGGGATGGATTTAGTGTCAGATAGCTTATGTTTGATGAAAATTACAATTCGGATTTTAATTTAAATTAAAATCAACAATTAATTTTAACAATATATTTTATGAGATCTACAACTTATCAATTATATATTTTATCAATTTTTATCAAAATATATTAAAAATATAATTTTAATCCCCACCGGCATATAAAAATAGTGTGGATATATATGCCATGTTTGGGAAAAATTAAAATTCATATTTTAATCTAAATCAAGTCAATAATTAATTTTATCACACAAAGGGCATGTTTGACTGTTTGAGACCCATTATTCTTCAAAAATACATTTTAGAATAGTATTTTGATGGAGAATATGTAGTTGAAAATATGAAAATTTTTGTATTTGAGTATAATATTAGTTTATTAAAGAATGTGTGGTTAAAAATGAGATAAAGAAAAATGCATTTTAAAAATATTCGGGATCCAAAAAGTGCTGTATAAATTAGCAATTTTTTAACCAACATTTTATCAATTTTATCAAAATCTTTAAAAAAATAAATCTAATTTTAATTCCCAAAGGGCACGAGACCCCATCGACCAGAGAATAGGAGGTTCGACCGAGTCGCTTCCTCTTCTGCGGTAATCTTCATCTCTTTTGCTTAGCCATTCTTTGCTTCCTTTTCATGCTTTAAGCTCTCGCATGCAAGGTAGATTCTATTTGATATTTTCTTTAATTTTTGGCCGGTTAATTTGTTGGATTATTTGTTTTGTTCTCTAATTGAATGATTTCAATTGGTATATGGTTTTCTTGCTTGGTTGGATAGTATGATTCTGTTTTGTAATTCATGATAATGCGAGTAGATCAAAAACCCCATATCATGAGAAACATTAGAATACTCCAAAGTTACCGCCTTTTAATTTTACTTCACATCTAGTTTAATTGGGTTGTCAATATTTTACTTTTCAGAATGAGTTATACTTGCTTTCTCGGGGGCAATAAGCTGTAAATCTATAAATTGACATTGGTATAATTGGTATAGTCATATTTGAGAGCATATGTTTTAGAAAATTTACAGATTGTTTAAAATTGCACTTTAAAGAACACGGAACTACATTTTTTTTTTTTTTAAATTTAAAATTTAGTCTAGGTTTCCTTCAAAGTACAGCAAGTGGATTAATTATAACAAATTTAGGAAACTTCAACTTGACAAGCCAACTGGAGCAGATTAGCAAAGTTTGGGGGATAATTTCATGGCATTTGTTAAATTGGATAGCTTCTTTTTCCCCCCATTTTAAATTTGTGCAATTCTGGATTGAGGCTGGTCCTTTCACCTGTGTTCGTGATTTAGTTGAATGCTAAACTGCCAACTCTGTGCTTTTATTTTTTTAATTGAGCAAATGTTAATATGATTGCTTTTTGGAAATTTATATATATCTTGAGATGATAACGATGTTTAGTCGCACTTGTATGACTGCACGTATATTTGAGAACCTATAAGATTGTTCATCATCTCTAAAGTGAAATCAGGATTAAAGTTGAGGTGCTGATGAATGATAACCTAGTAGACATTGAGATTGTACGATACAAATTTATCTTGATTATGAGCTATCTTTTTCAGATGGAGCCAGAAGTGGTGGAAGCCGAGCTAGTGTTGCCCACTCACATGAAATTTAAGAAGGTTCAGATGTATGAGAAGTACCCAAAGGGGCAGGCAAGAGTGAGGTGGAAGCATCTCAAGCAGATCATTCAAGCCGAGAATTACCAAAACTACCCACCCAATGAACCAAATTGTGAGTTCTACCTTAAATGTGAGACATATGTGCAATTGTATTTGTTGAACATCTGATGTTGTCTAGATGTAGCTAATTGACTGTGTATATATTAATTGCACATTACTTAGATGCATTGGAAGGTTAACTAAATATCAATCCTAGGCTTTATTTGTTGGCATGTTACAGATACAAAACGAAGACACTGTTTTATAGTAGATTAGCCTACATAGAACTTTTGCACCCGGGAATATGTTTAGTAGAATACTAGAATGTATTTAGTTAAAATGATTGATAACGCAAAGTAATTACAAAAGTGAGTTTTGGCCTACAAAAGTTCTTGTTTTTGTAACCAAATCAGTAGAACATATCTTGTGTTGAACTGAAAGAATGAAATTGTTGGCTAAGTGGATAGAGGTGAAAACAATGGGGTTACTAAATATTACTTCTCTTTCATTCATTGTCTTGGGGGACCAAATCTGGGTAACTGGAGAGATTTGAGGAGAAATTTTGATAGCATACCAGAAGGTGTTCTCAAATTTCTTCAACAAGAACATGAACATCTTTGATGAAATGTAGTCCTGAAATTGTTTATTCTGTTGTTTGTGGAGATGCACCACAGATCTTATGTCATGGCAGATGTAGAACCTCAACGTTTTCCTCAATATTTGTAAAAATGTAATGAGCCATTAGAGATGAGTCATGTTAACCTGACCTTGGTTTTCAACAGCCATGCTACTTCAAACTTCAAATGATAACACTAATACAAAGAAAGGTAGGACAAGACGAGTCATGTTAACCTTGACCTTTGTTTTCAAAAGCCATGATACTTCGAACTTCAAAAGGTAACACTGATGCAGAAGAGGTAGGAAAAGACCAGGTAAGAGATGAGATCGAAATCAGTGTTCTTGATTTAGGTTGCACAAAATATTATTATTTACCCTTTAGAGTATCCCGTGGAGTCAACTATATCAGCCTCACCTCCAGATGCCAAAATGAAATATTAGAGTATGCATCAATATTCTGCTTTTTGCTTAAAATCCTATTTATTTTTACTTAATTATTTTAGGCACATCACACCCATTTGCTTTTATTTGCAGATGTCAACATTGAGTCTCCACCATCTATGCAACCATGCAAAAGAATTTGTGATATAACCGGATTCAAGGTATCCTTCAATTTCACTATATGTTTATTGTTGACTGTTCTCCGAATTTAAACACGAGGAGCTGGTATAATGTAACTGCTGTTATGTTGGTGTGTTTCTGGACATATTATAGACGGAAATTTACAGAATAGTATAAAGTGTAAACATTTACAAAATTACATATCAACTTTTCAGTAGTTACATAGACCATGACTAACGGGTAGTCAATATTAACAGAACCTGTAAAATAATTAAATACCCATGAGTGTTAAAATTCAGTTATGATGGTTTCTCCAGAGAAATCTTTAGAAACCCCTAATTCATTGTTCCTTTCATCTCTTAACATGTGAATTATGAACCCATTACTTCTCTCTCTCTACCAATTTTTCCTCTTCAAATAGACACAGGAGCAATGCATATTTCTTCTGTCAACTGAAAACCAAACGCTATATCCCTCAAAATCTGTTAAAGTTGTGGATCAAAATAGTTGGTGTTTGGTTTTTCTAGAATAAAGCATATTGATTTTTTTATTATTTATTTATTTATTATTTTTTTTTTCAGACACCCACACCCACACACATATGTACGTTCAGGGAATAAAAAAGGTTTAACTGTTAACCCCTTTCTACTTCACATTGCTCTTTCATTTTTGTCCGTCTTTTCTAAAGAGCAAATTTCTAACATTTGAAATTGAAGATCCAAATGTATACCCTGCGTTTTGGTGATTTTCAGTTTATGCTATTATGTTAATTCTCAATATTTACAAATAAACACATATTTTAGCCAAAAAAAGGAAGCACATAAGTGGCATTGAAAGGCCAATAAATTTTTTTTTTTTAAAGGTTAATGGTTATTTATTCTTTTTTTTTTTTCCACATTTACGTATCTGTTGGTGTGGTTTTTAAGACTCAACAGGGCTTTGTATGTTGTTTAAATATTTGTCATTTTCAACTGATGCAAGAAACTTCCAGACTTGCAGGGATTTGTCATTTTTGCAATAAATGTCATTGTGGATTCATTTCCAATAGGGGTTAAAGAAATTTTAAAAATGGCATGCAAAGTGTTACATGTTTTATATAGGATGTTATTTTCAATTAGTGGTATTTTGGTCAATTCGAGTAATTTATAATGGCATCTCAGTAAATTTTTAAATTTTTGACTGAGATATTATTGATTATGTAATTTGTAAATTTTAGGAAGACTGTACAAAAACTTTAAATAGTCCCCTTGATGCAAGGTGAATGATTCAATAACTATAACAAGAAGAGATGGGGGAAGGGGAGAGAAGAAGAAGAATAGAGGCGGGGAAGAAGAGAGGAAGACGGCTGCAAGTCAACTTTATAATTTAATCAAATTCATCAACTGTCTCAAATACGCAACAAAACAGAAATAAATAACAAAACAAAAATTCTAAAGAGAAGGGCTTGGGCCAAACCCGCTAAACAAGCCCAATAACAGAAATATAAATAATAATCCAAATAGAATATAAATAATAGTCCAAATAGAAAATAAATAGTAAATGGAAGAAAATAAATAGTAAATGGATGTCCGCATTAACTCTTCCGGGGTGGGAGAAAAACTCGACCCTGTCGAGTGGATAAATCAAAATGTTGCAATGAATTTGATGCTAAAGGCTCCAAGTCATGCCATGGGGGACGATCTTTCTGATGAAACAAATATCGAAATTCCAAAATTGATGACAATGCCAATTGCAAATTACCCGCAAAAACATGAGCTGACCAAGATAACTTAGGCGAATGAGAATTTTGCCGACTCTTATAAAGTTCCAATGAATTTGGCTCACGCCGTTGAAGTCTCTCTTTGGGAATCCATGTACCGTCAGAATCAAGTCGATCTATCCAACGAACAAGAAAGTACCGAATCTCTCTATCATTTGTCAACACAAGCTGTTCATCCAAAATAACATCAATTTTATTTTTGTGTGCTGTGATAGGTGGGATTGAAGCAGACATGGCAAAAGATTCAGTGTGGGAATTCTCATGTGGGAGTAGAAACGGGTCATCAGAGGGGCTAAAATTGTCGTTGTAAGCATCGAAGTCCATAACAAATAAAATAGGGTGGTGGTCATAATGTGATAAAAGGTCATTGACATAGGTATTTTGACCAACATGCTTTGAAATTTTAAAAAGACTGGCATTACACGCGCTTGCAATATAACATAATCCCCAATATTAAATTCAAAGTATTGTTTATGCCAATCAACTTGAGGTTTATATAATGCTTTACTTACTTCAAATTGTTTATTGATCTCAATATGCAAGCTATGAAAATGTGATACAGCTACCTCAACTGACATAGACACACAAGCATGTGGGTGCATGAGAATAAGGTTTAGAGGTTTCAAAGGTTCACAACCAAGAATAACTTCAAAGGGTTTTAGACCTAAAGAGCAGTTCACAGGATCGTTATATGCAATTTGAACAGTTGGAGGGATCAAGTCCCAATTCTCAAAATTTTTCTGGACTAGAGACTGTAATAAATTGTCAGGATTTTGGTTAGCACTTTTGTTTTGACCATCAATTTGAGGTTGGTCAGTGGTGGATACTTTTGACTTAGTGTTAACCACAGGCGACTGGATTTTCCAAGAGTGACTGGTGACATCATTCAGCTCTTTAACTTGGGTAAGGGTATGCCATATAACATGTGATCGAGAATTGTAGAAGATAAGGGGTATAGTATTCAAAGTCTCGAGAAGAGTCTGGATTCCACCTAAGGAAGTGTCCTCACTATCATCCAAGTCATCAAAATCTTCAAGTTTAGGTTCATAGACTAGATCTTCTAACGGCTCCTCTATTACGTTCTTTCATGACTAAGGTTCGATTAGGACATTTAGAAGAAATGTGACCAAAATCTTTACAGTTGACGCACAACAAGTAAGAAGAAGACCTTGGAGTTTCAGAAATTCTACCCTGATTTTCCAAGATTGGAGAACCATTAGAAGGAGGAGGTCCTAGAAGGGATTTAACGGGAGGAGGTGGAGCCAATGAAACCAAATGATGATTATAAAAAATTTTACCCTTATTTTTCAAAATTGGAGGAATATCAAACAGGGGAGATCCTAGAAGGGACTTAACGGGAGGAATTGGAGTCAATGACACCGAATGATGATTGTCAATATGCTTTCTACATGGAAAAGAAGATCTTGGACTATCACGATCTTTACAATTATTTTTTCAAATAGGAGGAACATTAGACGAAGATGGTTTTATGATAGACTTATAATGAGGCGACACTAATGAGATGGGTGAGCGACGATGACCACGCTTTTCATATGGAGTACTAATAATCAAGTCATAATCTCGAGTTAAAGAGTAAGCGTGATCAAGAGTAGTGACACTTCGAAGGAAAAGCTCGCGCTTAAGATCATCTCTTAGACCTTGGCTAAACCTACTCAAAGTCGTGCTCTCATCCTCAGTTAAATGACATTTGGTTCGAAATTCCTCAAATTGCGCGATATACTCAGTCACTAATTGATTTCCTTGTTTAAGGGCATTCCATTGAGTAAGAATTTCAAAATTATCTCGTTCTCGCTCACGAATCTGATCCCTATTTCTATCCTATCCTTATGATCGGATCGAAAGTATTTTTGATTACCTTGTCGACGATGTTGTCTATTATGGGACACCTTAGAATTATCAACATCAATCGAATGAGGGATGTGTTTAAAATTTTTCAAACTAATAGATAGGGTCTTACTCTCTTCAAGAGTAGCGGTCATTTAAGTTTGAATAGCCGCTATTTGTTGGTTGAGTGCATCGAATTGTGAGGGGTTCATGTTTAAGGTACTAGAGCTAGAAGTGACAAGATGACCAATATGTAACTACATGCACTGTAATAGCAACTTAATGACATGCAATAGAGAGATCAACGAATAAAAAGTGCAAGTAATGGAAAATGAAAATTTGAGCCTTTTTTTTTTTTAAATTTAAAATTTGGGACTAAAATTATATACAACAAGCTAGTACTGCTGGTATATGTAAAATAATAAAGCAATAGTCAAATACTAGTCAAAACCTAATTACGTAAATTAAGCAGGTTAAAGTGAGATATAACGAGGTCAATGGATCCAATTACGTGAGTTTAAATAAAAATAGAGCAGCAGCAGCACAAAAATTTAATTAATGCAATTTCAAAATGAAACAGTAATATAAACCAACAATAAATAAAAGCAAGAACTTCCCTTTCGTTCGTCGAAATAGTCATGCCAGATCAACCAAAATAAAATATGTATCTGTAAATAATAGAAAAGATGTTTCTTCTCTTCTCTTCTTCTTTTTTTTTTTTTTGGAACTGCAGAAAACGATAAATTAAAAAAAAAAATTTCGGGTGTGAACAGTATCCGTGAACAGTAACGATTTTTTTTTTTTTTTATGTGAAACTGCTGAAAAATCTATAAAAAAAAATTGAAATTCCGGATGTGAACAGTACCTGTGAACAGTGACCTTTTTTTTTTTTTTTGCCTAATCAATTAGAAAGGAAATTGAACAAGAAAACTGCTGCTTCATGACAATTTTTTTTGTTTGTGTTGTTCCACAAGTTTTTGGGAAGAAGACAGGAAGAAAGTTTTGGATTGTGGATGAAAAATTACCCAAGTTTTGGCTCTGATACCATTTTAATGCAGGGTGAATGATTCAATAACTATAACAAGAAGAGAGGGGGAAGGGGAGAGAAGAAGAAGAACGGAGGCGGGGAAGATGAGAGGAAAACGGCTGCAAGCCAACTTTATAATTTAATCAAATTCATCAACTGTCTCAAATACGCAACAAAACAGAAATAAATAACAAAACAAAAACTCTAAAGAGAAGGGCTTGGGCCAAACCCGCTAAACAAGCCCAATAACAGAAATATAAATAATAATCCAAATAGAATATAACTAATAGTCCAAATAGAAAATAAATAGTAAATGGATGTCCGCATCACCCCTATATGGGTATATTTTGTAAATATCCCAATTCTAAATGCTTAGTGCTTTTTTTGGTGGTCTTCTTTTAATCTTGAGGAGAATGAGTTCCAGATTGGAGCTAGCTTGATTGTTTTAGGTCTAAGATACGGATAAATGAATGTATCTGCACAAACATGTCTTTAACTTGAAAGAATTTAATTTTTAGTAAAGCAGGAAGGTCAACTAGCACTAAAACATACTAACTGATCAGCTTGTCTTGACGTTGTGTGTTGTGGATTTCATTTGCTGGATGTTGACTAGTTGTGATACTTATTTAAATTAGTTTGGATACACTATTGGATCAAAGAAAGTATAGACTTGTGAATTTAATAAACTGAGGTTTAGTTTATGACATTTATTAAAAAAGAATGGATGATGAACTTACCTTTTTTCATCTAAAAATCGACTCAATTACTAATTCAGCGAAAGGAAGTTGAAAGATCGCAATCTGAATGGTGTTACAGATATAATCACAAAAGATGACAAATATAAGAAAAAAATTATCAGTCACGTTAATCTACAATACTGAGACAGGCTTGAGGGTTTGATTTTGAGTCACAGTTATACGATAGCATAAGAAACTTCTTTTCTGGACTAGAACTCATTTGTGTCCCTCCTATGAGAAAGAATCCTCATCGTTGCATACGTTGAACCTGCATTGCCAATGAGATGTGATCTTGTGGCAACAGTGTCCACATAAGAAGTCCAGTGTAAGAGTTTAAAGCAAGTTAATAAATCATTGTAATGACGGAATACGATGAATCATTAGAAAGGCACACTAATGGAATCCTTTGTGTAATTTTGTGGATAATTTTCCTGTGCTGCATAAGAATTCATATTTATATGGTTATCTGGAATCCCCAGTCTAGTAATTCTAATTTAGATTCCTACTTTCACTCACTAGTTTACTCCAGCTATTTTAGTTTGATGCCAATTTTCAAAGAAATAGCTATGACCTCCAAACCAAGTTAGGTTTGAGGGCCTGAGAATCTATACTTTTAAAGAGCCCTGACTTGAATACTGAAGAAATCCATTGAAGTTAACCTTTGTAGCTGGCTCGAGCTTTCTATAAGTTTGTATGCGTTGGCTCTTTGTCCTTGTCTGATTATTTTCTGAATTCCATTGCTGAAATACTGCTTCGAGAAGTTCTCTCTCTGTCAATTCAATTTATGAACTTTTCAATTCCATGCAGGCACCTTACTTAGATCCAAGGACCAAACTCCGTTATGCCAATGCTGAGGTATTCAAGATGATAAGATCGCTTCCTAATGATTATGTACAACGGTATTTGGCTCTCAGAAATGCTGCTGTTGTGCTGAGGTAGCTGTTCATGATTCGAGATTGCAAGTTGGTCATTTGTTTCATTTTGGCTAGTTAAACTCTACTCAAGAGAGACAAGATATACTTTTCATATTGGGTACTTTTACCACAAGATGTCAACTTTCCTGCATTAGCGAATCAGAACTTACATCATACCAAGGTTCTTTGTGCTTTATGTCACTCCATTATAAAATATGTAGGTTTTTAACAAGTTTAAAGGTATAAATAATGGATTTCGTGCTTGATTAATGCGTTATTCAGTTATTTTAAGACTTGTAAATTGAAATTGATCAAATGGGGTTTTGCTGCTCGTTTGTTGCCAACATAAAGAGTAATCATACTATAAATTGTTCGATTTTGCCGAGGATTCTATGCTTCTCATCTCAATCAATTCGAAGATGGATATCTAATGGAACTTGAACATCCAGGCCTGTGCATCGCCCAACCTCAAACACAAATACCAGCCTAAATTACTAAGTTTCGATCTATAAAAGCCAGGCTATTTAGTGATATATATCTGTGTACCAAAACTTTCCAGCTGTGTTGGTCCGATGATATCATCCAGACTTGTTTTTGGCTCCATGCCCTCTTTCGTGAGCTCAAAGTCGAATGCCTGAAAATTCTTGGACAATCTCTCAGGTTTTGATGTCTGGGGGCATCTCTCTGAATATTGATCTGTGCCACACTCCTATATTTTTCAGCCAAATCCTGGTGCGGGATTCATTCATTGAAAGGTTATTCACAATACATATTTCCTTGCAAAAGAAAAAGAGTAATGCTATCTTAAGCTCCACCTATGGAAAGCAGTCTATGTGACAGTGGGTCAGTGGCAAATGCATTTTAGTTTATTGGAGAATGTGACAATAACCCTACAAATGGCATTATTCACAGAAAAATTGAGGAAGTGAAATGACTTACTTTGAGAATTGGATCATCCAAACATGACATAAATACAAACATTTTAATGTTGGCTACAGATCACCTTTTCGGTAGAATCTATTTCAATACAATATTTACAGTATTTGACAAGACCAAACAGTGTAAGTACATATTTGTCTACCTAATTCCAATGTTGCAAACCAATCCTTCGGAAACAAGATCCTCCACATCGCGCTAAGTTGTTTCCGATGATATGTTAGTGTCAACATTGAGTTCACCATCTTTCCCCCCAAGACTGGCAGTTTTGCCAAATGGGAGAGAAGATGCTCAGATATATTTCTTGAACGTGCTCATGTAGTTACAAAAAGGAATTCACGCAGCCGACCTTGATCTACTGACAAGTTTTGTGGGTACAGGGAAGTGAACGAGATACAGAACTAGATAATCTCAGCGTAGCTTCTTCAAAGTGTCTATGCAGACCTCGAGCTGCGAGGGACTATGAATTAATAAACAATAAGCATGCTTGCTGCAGATTCTCAAAACACACAAGAATATATTTTAGAAAATGCTCTTTTCTTTGCAAAAACGGATCTTGGTAGTAATAAAAGATTCCCCCTCTTGACAATTTTCCTTTGAATTGCTTCTGCAATTGCCTCACCTAATTTTCCTTCATTCTGATACTTAGCTGCAATTCGTATCAATGGGATAATAGATTAATATAATGACGATTAAAGCTAGTGCATTCTTGTGACGTACTTAAAGAACATGTTTCGTAGCCATAGTAGTATGTAGGACAACGAACTAGATTTTAACTTCTTTTTCCTTCTTATGAATATCCAATAATGTTTATTTTAACATATCGGCTTAAGCAGCGATTAATTTGGGGGTTGGATTGGGCTACAGCTCATATCCATTTTTAAGGTATGTAATGTGAATTTTTTATTAAGTAGTCGTGTCTCTTAAACTAGCTGCTTAAATGCCAAGCCCCTAAACACATACCCAATTGGAACCCCAAATTGATAAGAGTAATACTATTCATAGTAGGCGACTATTGTAGTCATCATATGTGACATATATTTAATCACTCATCACATAGGATGATTATAGTAATTGTTCATTATGAATAGCATTATTAAATCCATAATCCCTTTCGAGCCCAAGCCCAATTGAAACCCAATATGAATATTAGATCTTTCTATTTGACGTTGTCTTTTCTAACTGGATCCTCCCAATTGAACCCTAATTTCCTCCCCACCCCAAAAACAATAACGTGCCTTCGGTGTTCTGTCACAACTTCCATCGCTTACAATCTGCTGGAGCCAACTTATAGAAACGGGCTATGTAAGGGCTGATTTTTGATATATTTGTTCGACTAGTTTTAACCCAAAGGAGCGTGATCAAAACACAATTCATATGAACGGAAATTTAGACAAAGTTTCGGTATATATAAATGTGGTAAGCAATTACGCAAAACAAGAATTAAGGAAGAGTAGAAAATAGAGAATAATCCAAGACGAGACATTATCTCTTTTCTTAAGACAAATTGCCCCGTTACAATACTCACGGTGAATGACACTCGTTTCACAAGATACAATGGATTCACAACTTGTGGTAGCAGCATTTCAAACCATAAGAAACCGGTGAACTTTTGACAGAATTTCTCCTCTACAAAGGAAATTGATGAAAATACTATAAAAATAGAAAGGAGAGAATTGTAAGAGGAGAATGAGTGCTCAATGTAATTGGTGTACCCAAAACAATGTCCATAGAGTCCTATTAATATATGTAGAAAGGGTGCAAATGAAGTAGTGTGGGCCAAAACATGTATCATTTCGAAAAGTTGCAACATTTGGTCAAAACCTGCATCTTTTCTAAAAGTTATAATATTTCATTTCTTCCAATTTTGGACAGCAATTTCTTATTCATCTGGAATTGGTTTCGAGATTCCAAATATACCATGACGATCTACTCGACGAGTAGAATAAGTTGGTCTATTTACTTTTGAAATTTGACCATCGAATCAAGTCCTAATATTTGGTCGAAGTTGACACGAAGTCACACCTTTCATTTTCCACTTTACACTTATTTTCGGTTATTTTTGAACCAATTCCAACACAATCCTTTTGCATTTTCTTGCCCCCACAACTTTAAACTTTCATGGACAATCATTTCTCAGCAATGCTCTCACCTCTTGAAATTTGATTTATTGTTGGTGGATTCATTTTTCATTTGTAAATAACTTTGAGACTGGAGAAGTTGGACATGATTTTCAACAAGAAAGCCGCATCTACACAACCACAAGTAATTTAAATTCACACCTTGTCATTTTTGTACATTGGTTTTTTATTTTTGTGTTCAGTTTTCTTGATATTAATCACAATGGAATTGAAGCCAACAGGACAGAAGGAGGGTATTTGCAGGTACTATGTTGTAGCTTACGTCATATACCGAGGCCAAACAAGTGACACACTGCACGATTTTGTAGCTATGCATGCCCTCCGTCCAACATTATCTTTCCCTCACTATCTTGTTTTCAAAGGGATGTTTGGAAACGAAGTATGAACTATGTACGTTTTTCAATTTTCTTTGTCGAAAAGATATGCCAATCTAGTGAGAGTACACTTCATGATAGATCGACCAAAAATCAACATTCAATTCCTACCTTGCAACATTCTCCAATTTCATTTCAAGAAAATTGAACATCTGTCATTCTCAACTCATGAATTGCAACCACATACTAGTATTGTATAGGATTTGGGAAAAAGAAAGCTAGCGTTTGAATATCATGTCATTCTACGAGGTAATATTACATATCAAAAAGTTCAGCCTTAGCAACTAAAGTTTAAAGAATGTTGAAGGAGAGAAGGAATTGAGATCAAAGAGTTAGTGACACCATATCATTGAATCTTAAAATGGATATATCTAATATTCTTGCTCAACGTGAACTTCAAGCATGGGCGGACCCACATGACCTCACAATTTTTCTAATATTTTTTTTCATTTATTTATCAAAATTTCTATAGTTACTGAAATCTTGTTCAAATCCTAACTTTTTAGATTTAATTCATTTTACTTGGTACTTTTGATTGTATTTATTTTATGGTTTATTACATGATCATTTTTAACCACACATTCACAGAATAAAATATTACACATGTATACCAAAATTTTTTCCCTACTTTTTAAATATATATTCTTTTAAAAGTCGCTATTCAAAACTCTTTTTCTATAATAAGATTGTCAAATAGACTCTAGATTTTATAGGAGTTATTCTTGGACTTTGAATTCTTCAAGTGTATTTGCACATTTGTTTGATCTATGCTTTGTCTAAAAAAGCGTTTAGAATGGTTGAAAGAATTAATTTAATCATAGCTCTTGATTTAAATGATGAATTAAATAAGTATAGCTTATAGCAAATTCCATTACTTACAGCCTACAGGAGTTAGAATTATGCATTAATAATTCAATATTAATTTCTGATCAATCTTAATGAAAATGCAGGAATTAAAACTTCATAACTTTTTAGTGACGACAATAAATCATTGAAGAGAGGGGTAACTAAGACCGGTCTTTCCATTCCTATTCAGACTAAAGATAACATAAATCTTGACCCATTAATTTGTCATTATCAATTGCAGGTAAACCCCCTCATTGTCACCCTCTTCTTCTTCTCTAATTTTTTCCCATGTTTCTATTAGGGTTTAACAAATCTTCTTCCACGTACAACCGATTTTAGCATGAATGAATGTATAATAATTTACGGTAATCTGAACTTTTACTATATTTTGGTAGTTCGGTCATAGAAAACGCAAAGAACAACGTCATATGTGAGGTTGGTTTAGTCTCTGATAACAGAGTGATGGTTTTGCACTTCCATATCGAAGAATAGTAATGATAAGATCGTAGCTTCAATAGTGTTTAAGTGACTCTAGTTGTCATCCCAAAATCAACCTTGTTGTTTGTGCTTTTCAAGAGTTTTCGTAAGCACCTTTTTTGTCCATACGTTTCACTTTAATTTTTTTACATTTTGAATGACACTACACAAATTTTAAAAATAGGAAAAGTGAATTCCATTTTATTTTTCCTTTGCTTTCTACGGTAAACAAGGAGGAACTCGATTTTGACAACATTAATGTGATCTTATTCCATTTTGTAAAAACATGATCTTTCATTCATATTATGTTGTTTTAGAAAAAAAAAATTACACTTAATTTTTTGACCTCACAATACAAAAAGTCTAGCTTCGTTGTTGACTTCAGGTGAACAAAAGAGAAGCCAATGGTACGATAATGCTAGTAATATGTGCGGTTCTTGGAATGGACATCAAACATTATTTATTAAGGATTTTCATTATGTGCACTACCCCCATTAATTTACCCATCAATTATAGTTGATAATTGGTTTATGTATTTAAAGATGTGCATGTCATTTGGAACTTCTTTTCTTATTTAATATTATCACTTTTTCTCCAAAGAGAGTTATAGAGTTGCAAACTTCTCATAGAGAGGAGATTCAGCATATGTTGGCTACTGGAGAGCATTAGTTTGGAAATGGAGGCCAATCAAACGGTTATTTTGTAGCGGTAAGGAGTTACTCTTTGGTATTTTCATTATGATTCTATATAGAACTTGATAGATATATATGGTGCAACTTGCAAGTGCTTGAATATATTTGTGATCATTGTCCAAAAGGAATATCTTTAGCTGAAACTCGTGGCGCTTGTAAAAAGTTGACAAGTTTTAAGTTCGTGTTTATCTACATTTGATGCATAAGATTATAAGAATCACTGGTGTTTTTTATTTAACTCTTCAAAAAAAGATCTCAACACGTCTTGGTTGTTTTGAGATTTGTTTCAACTACAAAACAACTCTTTCATAAATTGAGAAATAACGATTGAAAAGAAGTTTGTCAGGAAGTGAAAATATCTATCAAGTTTGGGACTACAAAGAAAAATAATGGTTGACAAATGAAATAAAAAAAAAATGTGGTCGATTGTTAAAAGTTCAAAATGAACATCTCAAAATATATTCATGCTACTAAAAAAAGTTAACTAATCAATGTTTTGCTTAATTTCAATAGATTATGTTTGTCTTATCAACTTAATTGTGTTACATTTTACAAGTTTATCAAATATATAATGATGTGTTTGATTTTATAATTAATTTAAAAATTGCAGAAGTTTCACTACATGAACTTATTTAAAAATTATATGTTTCGTAAAATTCATTAATTTTATGAGGTTCCTATTTTTGAACTTTTTTATTTACCACGTGCATGTGAAATTTTTACAGACGACGTATGGCGAGACATCATTGAAAAACGGGAAAGGAAGAAAAAATAGTCCAATAATATTTTGGCACATCAACATCTAAAGACATTCTTTTAAACAATCATGTTAAAATTACTGAAATTGGTTGACAGATAAGGTGATCGATCCTCACAATGGGAGCTCACATTTATATTTTGAACTTTTTTATTTACCACGTGCATGTGAGATGATGTCAATCATTTGGTCATTCATTTTCGAGCTAAATAGTTTAGTTATTCTGTTAAATTTTTCCTCTACTTGGAGCTTATTCGGGAAATAATAATCCAATTGCCTATCTATGCGGTGTCTTTCGTCTTACCTTGATCCCACGAACTACGAACTACCTGTCAGCCATACAGCCAACGCCAGCTGGCAGTCTACAGTATTATTCAAAAGTTTTCAAAAATAATTAAAATCCCTAAACTCTAAAATAATACACGCAATCTCAGCCGCTCGATCACTTTTCTGATCAGGACGTGAAACGTCTTTTTATCAATCTTTATAAATCGATCACCTTCGCTTACAACGAAAGCACATCTACGAAAATACATATACATACACAGAGTTTTGGAGAGAGAAAGAGATAAGAAACAATGGCGGGCGCATGGGGTAAACCAGGCGCTTGGGCTTTGGATTCAGAAGAAAATGAAGCGGAACTCCACCAACACAAACAAGATTCTATTGACGGAAACTCCATCGGCAGCTCCGACGCGGCGGATTTCCCATCCCTTGCGGCCGCGGCGGCGACAAAGACCAAGAAAAAGAAGAAGGGCCAAACCCTGTCTCTACCGGAATTCACCAGTTACAGTGCCAAGAAGGGCCCCATTTCTGGTGAGCCTTTAAACCTCCCCACCGCCCCCCGCGAGCGCTCGGCAGAGGAGCTTGATCGAAGCCAGCTAGGTGGAGGATTTAGATCTTATGGGTCTTCGTATGACCGGCCGGCAAGGGATGAGCAGCCGCGTCGACAGGGAGGTTTTGGTGGGGATTCTAATCGAGATTTTGCACCGTCTAGGGCTGATGAGACGGATAATTGGACTGTGGGGAAGAAATCGATTGTTAGTGATGGATTTGATGGGAGAAGGAGGGGAGATAGAGGAGGGTTTTTTTCTGATTCGCAAACTAGGGCTGATGATTCCGACAATTGGGGTTCTAAGAAGGCCTATGTGCCCTCTGAGCCTCGGAGATATGAAAAAAGAAGTGGCTTTGGATTTGAATCCAATAATGGTGGTGCTGATTCGGATAGTTGGGCCAGGAAAAGGGAGGAGGGACGGAGAAGTGGTGGAGCATTTGATAATTTGAGAGATAGAACGGGCAGCCCTGATTCTGACACTTGGGGGAGGAAAAGAGAAGAGGGGACTGGAGGCAGTGCCAGTAGGCCGAGGCTGAATCTACAGCCAAGAACATTGCCGGTAGGTGAAGGACAGAACAGTGAAAACGGGAATGTATCGAAGCCCAAGGGAAATAATCCATTTGGAGAGGCGAGACCGAGAGAGGAGGTGTTGAAGGAGAAGGGGCAAGATTCGAAAGAGATTGAGGAGAAGCTCGAGAGTATGAAGCTTAAGGAGGTTGCTGCAGGGTCCCCTAAAGGACTGGGGGCTTCGAAGAGGAGCTTTTGGAGTGGGAATGGGAGGGAGAGGTTGCATCAAGAGGATAGAGCTGACAGGACTTGGAGGAGGCCCGAGTCTCTTAATTCTCCTCCTGAGAGGTTGGTGAACCAAGTTTTCATATCGAATGAATTCTGATGAATATCTGTTTTGATTGCTTTATTTTTGACAATTTGGATTGTGTTTTTGGGTTTACATGCTTCTGATTTTGTACTCGAACTGTACTTGTGGCAACTGGTTGATCTGAATTATTTTCTTGGGGTGTTCTGTGAATGTGACAAAGCATTTCGAATAATATATGCAGATACTGCTCATACATGTACACACGCACTCTTTAAAGTATATATCAGTGGTAGTTTACAAACTGTTGATTCGAATATAAGAGAATCTCTACAAGTGTCTGTAGCCAAATTCTGGTTTCTTTTCTAGTATATGCTTGCTTACTGTGAAACTTACTAAGTTACTTTTAGCCGAGTATTACTGTTTCTTGCCAATTGTTTTTCCTTGTCTGGGTATGATTTTGTCTTAGTACCTCGAAGTTGAGGTTTTGTGAGTCCTTTTAGAGTATCTGAATTGGATATTTGAGAGTAGAATTTAGCTGATTCTTTTATCATTCGATCCCAGTGTCAGTGGTTGCGTTCACCTCCCTATATCCTTATTAATTCCGTTGTTATTTTCGGCATTCTATAAGCAACTTGCTGGTTCTACAAAACCTATTGACAGCTTCGATTTTTTTAAGACCAACAGCCAGTCTATTTGATAGACTCCCACCTAACCTAAAATTGATTTGTACTATAGAAAAGTAGCAATCCTGCTATATTTGCTTACGTGTGCTGGTTAGGGGTGGAACTTTGATTATTTTCTGAGAGTTATTTTTCCGTGTTCACTTAAGATTAGTATTTTACTTCTTAACATGCAATTTTTGTTCTTTATTTGATCTTTTGGGCATCCTGTCTTGTGGAATACATTTTTCCTTGTTGATGCTGAACTAATATGAGCGAAAAAGGAATTCTAGACACAGTAGGTGATTTGGGAATGTCAACGTCCTCCGTCTTCTCTATTCCTCTATTGACTTGAGTTAGTGTTTAGCGAGGCTTTGAGAACTTGATGCAATTTTGATTATTGTCAATGACCCTGAAAGCATGCTTTAGTTGTGTAATTTTTATTCTTGAAAATGTCTCTGCAGTCAATAAAATCCTTTTTACTTTCTATGCTGTAGTGCCGAGAAAACAGAAAATGGATCTTCTGAAGCAGCTGAAGATAGTGATCCACAGATGTGATGTTGAGCTTTGATGCTGAAAGTCATCGATGCATTGAACACATGAACTTCTGTTTTTTACTTTCCTGTTTTTTGTTATTTGACTAATGTTGTTGTGAGGTCCAACATAGAGGCAATTTTGTCATAGTTACAAGTAGAATATCCTTAAAAGTTCCAAGGATTGGTTGTGTACATGAATTCTTTGTCATTTTATTGAACTTCGTTTCTTTACTACTGCAGTAGTTTAATGCTTTAATTATTGCATTTAGTCGATTGTTCTAGAAGTGTTTTGCCAAAGGTACATTAGGGTTTGTACCTTGGTGTACAAAATACCTAGGTGCCCCCTTTCATCATTGGCTAGTGGAAAAACATAGCCAATGATGATGTACGCTATTTTTTTAATTAGTTAATGATGAAATGTTATCTGGGAATTATATGCACCAGGATATAAACATTGTTGGACATGTAGATCTATTCTGGTGTAATGCTTTCAGGGCTCAATCGATAGTTGGTATTTTGTTCATGTCTTGGTGTCCTAACATGACACGTCTCCAGGGTTGGATTTAGTGTGGGGGCTTGGGATGGTAACGAGGCGGGGCGAGGCGAGGAAGTAGTGTTAGGTAATTTCCTACCTCGTACCCATCGCTCGAGAGGATCTGGTCGAGTCGGGTGGGGTTGTTCTGTTTAATTTAATTTAAATTTTATTTATTTTTGATAATTCACATTATTATCTCAGTTCATTAATGTGAGATTATAATATAGTTATTAAAATTTTTAAATAATTTATTTATATTTAAAAGTTAAATTATTTAAATATATTTGATAAACTAAGGTTTTTATTGTTTATCATATTCTCTAGGTAATCTGAATTCCAATCTTCTATTAGAATTAGGCCATGTTTGATAGAGTTCCATGGAAAATTCAAATTCCATTTTTTACCCATTTTGTGGTGTTTGATAATAAAATTTTACATCATATTTGGTTCTCTTGCTTTTTCTTGAAAATTGAAATTTTCTTGGTTTTTTAGGGTAACGTTTACATTTTTCTTTTAAATTTTTTTTTTTTTTGGCAATGAAAACAAATTATATCCTTAATTGTAAAAAAATATATTCCTTTAATTGATAAATTTCATGTAAAACAAAATCAAACGAATATTAAAAGATAGATAATTTTTATTTTTTTTTATAATGGAAACAAATTTTATCTTCAATACCAATATATTCTTTCTCTTTAATTGACAATTTTCATGTAAAACAAAGTTAAATGAACAACAAAAAATACTTTTATTTCAACATTTTTCATGTCAAAAATTATATTAATCAAACACAATAATTGAGAATTCCTGATAAAACAATTTTTAGGTAATTCAATTCCCTAGAATTCGTTTTCTTTCTACCCAAATTTCATATTTGTAATCAAACGGACCCTTAATAAAATTTCGGGGAATTTCCCTTTTAAAGTATTGAATTCTTAGAAAGAAAAAAAAAAAGGTTAAACGGGGTTGGACGTGGCAGGGTGCGCAGGGCCTTTGTTACCTGTATCCATTCCAGGGCGAAATCCTGTACGCCCGTTCCCAACCCGAATACTCGATTAAGCGGGCAATCCTCGCTCCTTTGTGGATATCGAGTTTGACGAATTTTTTTGTCATCCCTAGTGGGGACAATTGAGTCAGCTATACCCACACTAAATTTTAAATTTCAAATTTTGTCAGAGATTTTTTCAAGATTTTCAGAAAAATCCTTATAGTTTTCAATTTTGTTCCCACAATTCCCTCTTATCAATTGCTCTTGTTTTAGTTGAATGATTTGCCTTTTCCTCTTCTGCAAACCTGATTTACTCTGGCCATAATAGACCTTGAGTAATTGGGTATCCATTGGCACACATCACTTGGATAAAAATTTTCTAAAAATTGACCCCACAATTTTTTTATTTTAGCTCCGTTCCTACGAGCCCGATTTGTGTTGTGAAGTTGCGAACCATACGCTAGGAATGTAAAATTCAATTGAGTCATCAAAGGAAATGGACATCTCGACGAATAATTTTTGTCCAAGTGATTGGCTCCTGGAAATTGACGGGGAGAAAAGGATTGTCACCTTTTCATGTTCACAAAAGCTAAGATCCTGTTTGATTTGAGTTTCAATATTTAGTATTGAATTCATTCTTAATTTTCTGTTCCGAATGTCTATTTTAAGATTGCAGAAAATATTTTTTAATTTGTGTGAGAAACTATTTCTCAAAGCAGAAACCGAAAAACGTCCGTTTTAAATTCTATGGGGCTGGAATTTTCGCCATTGTTAACCTAATAAAAAACTGATTGTTATAGTTCATGGATGGGCCTACTTCTATTGGATAAGGCTGAAATATTGGGCCTTCTTGGTTGACACGCTATCTTGAATGGTCACAATTTCAAATTTTCAATGTTTCTGTACGTAATAACTAGGAAGATCGCAGGATTACCCTAATTTACAGCCTGTTTGGGAGGGATTTTTTATTCCAAAAAATTAATTTTTTGATCGTTATTTTACTATTCCAGCAGTAATTTTTGACTTCTTCTCTCACAGGTGGACTCCACTTTTCTTCTAACGGTCAAAAAATCAATTTTCAAAATCTCTCCCAAACAAGGCCTTAATATTTAAAAAAATTTGAGAAATACTGAATTGTTAAAAATAAACTTAAAAATACGGTGCAAATGCTAAGCTCCCACACGCTCCCAGTAAATGGAGTCTCTTAGGAATCAGGTCCACATCAAAAGACCAGATGCTAGAAAGCATCACACCTCCTCCTCAGAAGTATAAAATAGTAATTTATCAGCTAAAAATGATTCTGTTTTTGTTTCTTGTTTCATTTTCTTCTTTATTTTTTATTTTTATTCAATAAAATGTGATTGTATATACTTCTCTTCATGTATTTTTTTGTATTTCATACGTCAATAAAGCATTTTAAGTAGGAGAACTCGTTTATGAAGAAAATCAAAGTCAGCCCATAAAATGGTACACTTATATGTAACTATTTCCCTTTCTTATCCCACAAAGATATGGCACTACAGAATCATTAAAGCTATATGTACAGGCTCATATTTCATAGGAACATACATATTACTCAAATGTGGTCGGATCCACCTTATTAAAAAATTATTCAAGAAAACCCACCCCACCCCTGCTTGTGTGTGTTTATAAAGGCCCTGTAATTTTCCAACCTGAACGTGTAGTGCCTTTCCTATAGAATATGAACTAGCACAAGAGAATGATGAAAACCGATTCAAAATTTTTCAATTTGAGTCATAGAGCTCCATATATTTCATTAGCAACCCTTGTTAGTTATAAAGGAGCGTGCAACTTGTCCTATAGACATTTCGAAATGCACTTTATAGAAAGCAAAGAAATGGAACTAAGATATGGACGTGGGAATGAAAAATCTCGAACGAACTTTGCTCGTCATTTTCTTTAATGTAAGCAAGTCAAAATTGTTATAGGTAATAGAGTCTTAACGTTTTTAGAGAGTATCTAGCAGACAACTTTAACTAGGGACAAAGCCAAAAGAAAAACGAATCAAACTTCATCTAATCTACATCCAATAAACTATAAAAGCATTTCGGGACTCTCTAATTTTATAGACATTTATAAAGGAATTAATCTACTTGTACCAAATGTCTTACCTAACTTTTGATCGAATTGACAAGCGGCGCCCCTCCAAATGTCCACTCCAATAAGGACGCGACATTTGTCAATTCAATCATTTGGTAAATGATTTGGTACATATAGCATCTCCCTTTATAAAGTATCTTCAAGAGATTCTCTAAGTACAAAATATTCTTTATTTTAAAAATTCACTGTTTAAAAGTAAACTCCAAAAGACTTTCTATTTTTATGTAAAATGATTCTATTTAATAAGTCACATATTTCAATACTTCACTTCTTAAATTATTCGAAACACATTTAAATTGATTAACCACTGACATATAAAAATTTTTTTAAATAAAATATAAGAAGAAATAAATAAATATTTATTGAGAAAAGTAAAATAAAGAGCTAAAATAGAAAGCATGGTCGGAGTGCATAAAATTTTTGTCTCTTTAAATTATAGGTACTAATACACAAGATGCTCTTTATAAATAAAGAATTTCTTGAAGATGTTTTAAATTTAGAGAGTAAAATTTTTTTAGCATTTCAACAAGTTCTTTGTCTTTATCACGTCATTTTACATACTCCCAAACAATATTTATTGTTTTTCCTATCTTTTATTTTCATTAGCTTCCTTTCAAATTATTATATTATTTTTCTCTACTGAAAATTGAAATATTTTGAATATATTTAATTATAGAGAATGAGTTTGACTCTCCATATTTGGAGAATCATTCTCACTCTCTATTTTAAATATTAATTTAAAGAGTCTTTTGAAATATAATTTTAAGGATTGACTCTTTCATTAGAGAGCATTTTATATTTAAAGAGTCTTTTGAAAATAATCTAAGTGACAAGAATCCAACTTCTACTATGGTGGCACATTCCATCATTAAATTCCAATCCCTAACTTTAGTTATAGTACGCATTGGTGGTGAGTCTGGAACTTGACTAGAAGATTGTTGGTCGAGGCCGAGATGTATGATTTGGTTTTGTTGGAAGATTTAGGTCTACTTATGATCTTCAATTTTAATTTGTTTTCACTAATAGAAAGTATAACTCTAGCACAATTAGTGTACTTGAAAACAACCAAGTTTTTCACAAGAACGTTGACATGCCTATGGATTGATTTACCTCCAATTATGTATGTGATTGAATTTACAATAGTGGTGTTGCAAGATTGTTGGATTAACTTATTTCGTTAAATATAATTTTTTAAAAAATAATTTTATTTATGGATAAAAATTTTAAATATGATCAAACATGCAATTTGTTTAGCTTCTGATTATTTGTTGTTAGTTCATATGTACTCAATTTCTACTCTGGATTAAATAAATATTAATAGGCTCCACCAACCCCTTTTTTTAATTGTTTGATTATGATTGGCTCATGTTTAACAAAGCTTTTTGAGATTATGAGTAGGTCAAATTTCAATTTTAACCAAGTTTAAATCGATGCACAATTTATTTTAACATTTTAACCAAACATTTCATGAAATTTACAAGTTTATAATCTCAAAAAACTTTATGGAACAGAAGTTTAATAACAAGTGGATAATTTTATTATCTACCATCAAATATTTGATGTTTAATTATTGATTAATTTGATTAGTAGGGTTTTTTTACCTAACCCACGA